TTCTCCAGTCAACAAGTGATTCGAGGGTGTGTAAAGCGTAAACTGAAGCTTTGAACCAACCTCATATGTATTTACCAACTCATCTGCTTTTGTGGAGCTGGTTATATAGGCAGTATAAAGCTTATACTATCCAAACACATTTCCCAACACTATCCTGCATGACTGTCTAAAGGATAATGTAAGGCCGGCAACATCTCGATTCCTGAGCATTTGGCTATATCTGGTCACTGTGTTCCACAAGATTCTTCTTTCAAAATCACTTATAAAGTGGAAGCAAACATTTCGAAATGAGTGCATATTCGTCACCACAATACAGTAATAGTTCTGGCAATCCAATAATACAAGCCTGTTCTTTGTGTTCAGAAAGGATACATACATTTAATCTCCCTAAGATAATTAATTCATTTCCTTGTTTATTTACTACAATGCCGTAAGTAATCTTTGATGACCTTGGTTTGACCTTCTAACGGTTATCACCATATGACCTTTTTCATAGTTTTCGGTGACCTCGTGCTGACCCATTCGCCGTTGATGGGTTGCAACATAGTTGCAACTATGACTACATTGTAGAGCTTTTGAAAAATCACAAACATTATTGTATTCTATGGGTTGTAAAGCAGCTGAGGAAAATCCATGAAACACACACATATCAATTCTGGTACCATTCTTTTCTTGATGGATTCACATTTGTGAAAGGATAGAATTGTATGGGACTCTTTTTACATCACTAAGTCTTACAATGGACTTTGGATGATCATGAAGACTATCTTCGACATATTCAGAAAACGTATTTCATTGGACCGTAATAAATTTGTTTATCAACTTGCATCGAATCATGAACATTTTTAACTTTCTGATATCTGATGTGACTTAGGACAATAAACGCTGATCTGAAGCGGATATGCAAACTCAGACAAATATCTCCATCTCTACCCAAGCTCATCTTCCTAAACAATGTTCAACTTGAATAAAAATGTCGGAAAAAAAACTGAGAAGAACCGACTAACGAATGTCATGATGTATCAAAATATATTGGCATTTCATGATTTGGAAAAAGTTGAGTATTGAGTAAATGATATTCAAAAAGCAATTGATTCCCTTTATAAACTTCGACAAAACAATAAGAAGCCGCGTAATGTATTTGTGCAATACATTTCGAACTATCTGATTATATACCTAATTATCATAAGTATTTATATAAAAATTTATGAAGATAAGAGGTGAGTAAATGAGAAGAGGTCAGTTGGGAAGGCTGAATTAAAGACGGAATAATGATGAAAATCAATAGAGCAAAGATAATAGTACATCGAACATGGTTTTCATAGTTGAATTCACCAAGGGAAATTTAATGTGATGACCTAATGGCTAAGGCCTCAACAGATTTAATTATCCATCCCCAAAACGTCTTGTAAATAGGTGTAAAAGAAGTAGCAACATCCATCCTGTGACCCGTCTTATCTATATTTTTCACGATCGAAGGACTTGGACGTATGCTACCAATGATACATGCGGTAAACTTAACCGGGAACCTAGATGACCAAGCCTATTTGTATCGAAGATATGTTGACGATATCCTAATTATTTGCGATAACTTCAATTATAAACTGACTGAACGAAGTACAGAATAGCATATCATTGACATCCGTAGGAGAGAAGGATGATTGCTTGCCATTCTTGGATGGATCCATAAAACGATCTGTCTACAGAAAACCTATATGGACAGGGCAATATGAAACCATCATAGCTTTTGTCCAGTTCAATACAAGAGACAGTTAGTTAGGTCCTTATTCAGTAGAATTTAGTGAATATGCACAAAGGATACTTTGGAAAACGAATGAGAAACATTGGCTGAAATACTATTGGGAAATAACTACTCATCAAAATTTATTAGGCAGTACAAAATAGAGTGCTAAAACCAGATCTTCAGTTTGTCCCAAAGAAGGATGTCTTGATCAATCTTCCGTATAAAGGTGACTCTCATAGCGAAATCTTTAAGCAGAGACTTAACACTGCTGTTTGAAGGACTTACTATTCAACTAGAGTTTGATTAACAGGAACTATCAAGCCCATATATTCTCTCAAACCCTTACAGCATGTGAACGATAATGTCACACACATCCCATTGTATCTACCAATTCAGATGTGCATACGGTGACACATACACAAAGATGACTCATAGATGGATGCAAGTAAGAGCCTCAAAACATATTCCAAAGTGGCTTCAGAAGAAAATTCAATCACCTAAACCCATAAATGTTGATAGCAGACGTCTAAGTTTTTCGATCGCGGAACATATCATTGAGACAGGTCATAAAACTGACATGGCTACTTTCTTTACATCTACTTACAAAACGTGTTGGAGACAAATCCTTAAAGTTGTTGAGGCCTTAGCCATTAAGAAGTTCAAGCTATCTTAGTGTGTTCATAAATAAACATTACCAAATCTCCCTTGGTAAATTCAGCTGTGAAAACCATGTTCCATGTCCTATTATTTTCACTCTATTGATTCTCATTGTTATTGGGCCATTAATTCAGTCTTCCTACATGACTCTTTTTCATTTCCTCATCTCTTATCTTCATGAATTTTCATATAGATATCTATGACAAGTATGTGTGTGATTAGGTTGGTCAAAATGTATTGCGTAAATGATATGCTTTATCTCGCTATTTCTATTTCTGAGACGAATAGGGACTTTTTTTCAACTTAGAGGTAATATTCATCATGGACTGACATCATTTGAGGAAGCATTGGAAATCTGGGAGTACTGGACAGCTGTTTCGTCCTAGTATGTGATTCAAAAACTATAAGACAAAATAAATTTATTTCTACTGACGTTTCTCTGTTTACAGCTAATACCTTTATCAAAGCTATAGTAAACCGGAATTTAAAATACCCCCTAAGCTTAGATACACAGTTGGAAATGTGGACTTTTGGAGTTCGACCCAGTGGCTTAATGGTAATATTTTGGCCACGGAACCTGAAGGTCGTGGGTTCGATCCCTGGCAGGACCATGAGTGTTTACTGCTGAAGAGTCACATACTAGGAGGAACCAGCTATCTATTACTGCCCGCTTCTCAATGTTCCCGAAACTGATGCCAGTCCGTGATGAAAACCAACTTAAAATTATATATGATAAGCTGACATGTGTTTTTCTTCCTGCCTTGTCAGAATTGTAAAATAAAGATGATATTCATATGGAGTGTGTTGTGTTTGTGTGAAGAGTTTGTGAATTACAGATTGAGATTTGTATGTACACATATGTGTGTTGATAGTTCTTATCGCCTTGATGTATGTTGGTTATGTCAGTAAGTGGGGAGTGGGTTGAGAACAAGTCAAACTACCTTCCACTCCTTCATTCCTTCTTATTTAAACATTTCTGATTCCACTCCAGATGAAGAAATTCTATGCTATGAGATGTTTCTCATAACTGTTAGAGCTTTCTGAATTCCTTCGATATTGTGAAATTCAATAATGTGACCTGAAATTATAGTATATAGAACTACAGCTGAAGTGTAAGAGCTTTTCAGTACTCACTTTTTCTAATTTCGACTTCGTATGTAGTTTTTCCTATTTATACTCCATCACAGTCTCAGCATTTTATTTTACAAATACAATTGTGAATCTGAAGGGATCTCATCCTTCGAATGAACTAAGGTTCTCTGTGCCATGTGTTTGATGTTCTGTAGAACACTACGATGATGTTATATGTGTTGAATACTCTCCTAATTTCATCCAGTCTGTGTGATTTATAAGAGGTAGCTATTGTTGAAGTTTTTTACCGTTGGATTTAATGTTGTTTCCTATTTTAGGATTGAATTTTATCGGATAATTATTTATTTTAAAAATTTTGTTCGTTAACTCTTTCATTTTCATCCGTTACTGGATTGTGTGCTCTCCTTAAGAGATTGGAGGCAACAGAAACGTTCACTCTGATTAGGTGTAATGAACTGAAATCTAAGTATTTGCTCTCGTCAACAAGGCGTATCTACAACCACAAAGTATCTAACAAGTGCCAACAAGGATGAATCCGAGGTCAAGCATGGTTTCCTGCCGATCGCTTCCAACTAAGATAACATAATGCATTGTCTACAGGAATAGTCTGAAAGCATTCACAAGGTTTTTACAGATATCAGTAGTCGAATCAGAGGGATTTAAACATTCAACAGGTATTTCTCTTATCACCGATCAAGTCCTTCAGCAAATGATTCGCGCATATTTCCTACATGCAGTTGAATTGCTTAAAACACCAGAAGCTGGTTATCAAGTTTGAAAATACCAGTTCGCTATAGAGGTAACGTTCAGTATCCAGTCTGATATACTTTGTCTGAGAAAATCTCCATATCAGTGTAAATAGTTTTTGATGTTACAGCTTGCACATCTTCGTCGTTGATTGGACCGGATAAATCGAACACCATTAAAATATGGGATCTTATTCAAATGCCTCGATATTCCCTGTATTTACAGTTTCAACAATAACGATGGATAATAGATAGTACAGAAGAATCCAGCAGGCGCGTTTCGTCCTATTTGGGACTCCTCAGCCGAATGTATCTGCCTCTCAGTGAGTGATGTTGTTCCCGCTAAAACCCAAACCCTCTACTCATCACTTCAAACATCAAAGCGTTATACAATATATCCAGTTGACGAATCCCAAATAGGGCGAAGAACGCGCCTTGAACTTCACTGTTAGTCTCTATCCATCATTCATATTAGTGTAGTCTTTCTGAAGTTTGTGCTTATGATGTTGTCTAGAACGATAATGAAAGCACCACTATTAAACAATCCAGGTCAGAGAACTCAATCCCATCGAAATTATCCTCCTGACCTATAAATATTTCCATCAGTTTAAGAAGTGTTTGCCTGGTACAGAATACCAACATGGATAGAATAGTCTGTAAATAAATTTCCGCTTTCATCAGTTAACCTAGAAAAGTGTAGTAACAATCTTTGACAAATTTATGATTATTATTATTATTACTATCATTATTATGTAACTTACTTCCATCGAATAAAGTCAAGCCAGCTAATATAAGAAATGGAGCTTCTTTACTGATGAACTGAAATGTTACGCCTCCATACGGTGGTCCAACTGTAAGTTTTAAAAAGATATAAAACGGTATATATATAACTAAGAGGAAAAGAACTTGAAGACTGTTTTAAGTGAATCAGACCATTTTTTTTGTCAGTGACAATGTATACCAGGAGAGATCATTGATGGCAAGATCATTTCTAAAGCAACTACATAAATAATAAACGAACCAAAAAAAAGGATTATCATGCACTAGTGGGTTGATGGTGCCTTTGTACGTTTTTAAATTCCTGAGTTGCTCACTGTAGTACTTGTATTGATAGGGTGTGCTGTGTGATACTACCTATATAAGTTACTCATTTCTTCAGGTTAGATAAGCACCAAAATAGTTTAATTAATCCTGTTCTACAGAACATCAGTCGTGTTGTAAACAACTAAAGTGGTAAAGCATCTCCTATTCATCCTGAATAATACAGATTCGTATCATGGGAGGAACATTTTGTTACAAACAGAGCCGACTGATGAACACAACACTATACATCGGTTAAGTTGGATTGGTAGTCACACTGAAGCCGTTGGTTAATGAACTGCAGTCAGTCCTAAGCACTATCGGCTAGAGGACCGTATTGGTTTTTCCATCAGTGAATGATTAAGGTATAAGTTATACTTCTAGCGTTTCAACAACTTAGTGTCTGGTGTTCCAACTCACGAGTTCTAAGCTACAGAACACTTTTAAATGCGTCTGAGAGTTAAAATAGCTGAAAGGGGATTTTTACACATACCAAATTAAAGTATATGCTAGTGTTAGGAAGTATGTACACCGAGAGTTAAGAACTGGCAAAAAAACAACCTGAAAATCGAATTTTGAGGAAGTTGTGGGGATTTGGAAATATTCCAAGTTGTTGTTCATCGTAGACTGATATCACTTGGAGGAACGGAGGAAATCTGGGAACACTGGACAGCATTTTCGTCCCAGTACGGAACTCCTTAGCAGTACGCACCCACGTTCCCGCCAGGGGTCAGGCCAGTAACCTTCAGGTTCCGTGGCCAACACGTTACCACTGACCCACTGTGTCGTGACCCATTGGTCCATATTTCCAACTTCTGTTAGCTCACGATATAGCGCAACCACCACCCAATCTCATTGTTGAGTGACTGTCCTCACGACCATCAGGCTTTGCCCCCACCGGTCACGAAACAGGACGAAACAGCTGTTCAGTGCTCCCAGGTTTCCTTTGTTGTACCAATTGATGTCAGTCTACGACGAATAACAACTTGAAACCTGAAAAGTGTTTTTCAATTACTTTTCATAAGATAAATGTTTACCAACTATGCTATAGTCTTCTAAAGTCATTTTTAGGCAACATATAATCGATGTTTCACAAATAGCCCACAACTTCAGGAATACTTTCATATGCAACATGTCTTCAGTCTAACTGAAGTGATTTACAAAGATACACTGTTCATTGCTTCAGAAAAAGTGAAAAATACGTTGGACTGCAACATCAAAGCGTTTCATTGCCTTTGACGGTATAGCCTGTGCATCTCCGTCGTTGACTGGACCACACTGATCTGTCACTATTGACAAATTGGCTTACATATAGATGCCTTGATGTTGTTTGTATTCTCAGTTTTTGTACTGGGTGATGATTGAAGGTGAAATAGAAATTCGGACCACGGCCAAATTCGAACGAGTGACCACCGGGTTCCCAGCCGTATGCTGCACCAACTTGACTACGAGGTCCAAATACCGACGAGATTCTTATTAGTATGAAAATTCCTAACTAGGCAGCCAGTGGAATACGATTGGGCGGTAGTAACGTATCACGAATTTACATGGTAGTGTGGCAAAACCCTTGGTGAAGTAAAATAAAAATCTGGTCAGCATCCGGACCTCGTAGCTCAGTTGGTAGAGCATCACGCTGGAAACTTAGCAGTCACTGGTTCGATTTCAACTTCAATCACTACCCAGTATAAATACTAGTCTGCAAAACTACAGCTATCTCAAATAGTCAAATGATTCTCAGTTTTGGTAAATATTTCTTCGACTTGGTATTTTCATCTAGCACTGGTGGCTAGTTATTTGATTGCACAGATACCTTTTTTCAGTTCATAGTAGCGCTACAGAAATGATTTGTCGTCCACTTCTGTACAGACCCTAGAAATTTTAGTCCACTTGGTATGTCAACTTTTCTAGCTGGCTAATGTATAAACTTGATCTGAGCATGAATACTTTACAAACTTTGTATCTCTCTAAACAATAAATGTATCCTCCATACCCTGGTGGTGTATATTTAAACTGAATTTCTACTTGAATGAAGATTTTCATGCTTAAAATTAATTGCAAAACTATGTGATCAGTTCCGTAATCTGCTTGGTAGCCAACAATAGACAACAGGATGACCATTTTGTTAGATGAATGTACCTACACCCTATGAAATGATGTTATTTAACTGAGATTTAAATCAATTACTTGCGGATTAAAACGCCAACGGGTTAGTTACCCCCTAAACCACTGAGGTTCTAACAGGGAATCCTATTGTGACTACATATAACAATCTTTACCGAGTCCAATCAGATCAAAAAGTATGCACTCATTCTACATATCATGATAAGATTTATATATTTTTTGATGTTAGGTATTTCAAGTTGTTATTCATCGTAGACTGACATCAGTTGGAGGAACAAAGGAAACCTAGGAGCACTGGACAGCTGTTTTGTCCTAGTATGGGATTCCTCATTGGTGCGCACCCACGACCTTTAGGTTCCGCTGCCAGCTCGTTGCCATTGAACCACTAGGACGAAACATCTGTCCAGTGCTCTCAGGTTTCCTTTGTTCCTCACAACTGATGTCAGTCTACGATGAATAACAACTTGAAATATTTCCAAATCTTCACAACTACCTCAAAATTTAACTAAACTGGTGCTCATTGGTGACTAGCTTCGAGAAGTATTCCCGAAGTTCCAATGACAAGTCGTGACCGGTCGAGTCAAAGCCTGATGGCCGTGAGGACAAGTACTCAACGATGACATTGGGTGGCGGTTGCGCTATATATCGTGAGCTAACAGAAGTTGGAAATATGGACTATTGGATCATGACCCAGTGGGTCAATGGTAACGCACCGACCGTGGAACCTGAAGGCCGTGGGCTCGATCCCTGCTGGTGTGGGGTCGTGGGCGCACACTGCTGAGGAGTCTCATACTAGGACGAAACAGCTGTGCAGTGCTCTCAGGTTTCCTTTGTTCCTCCAAGTGATGTCAGTCTACGGTGAATAACAACTTGAAATATTTCCACAACTCCCTCAAAATTCGATGTTAGGTGTATTGGAAAGCTTCTCTTAGTTGACCAAACTTCAGCAGTTGAATGGTTATGATTGTTAGAAGTTGAGTTATTTGTTATGACTACATTCTTAGTTCTACAATATTCAAATATGATTTTCCTTTACTATCCATGAGCTTGAATAAAGGAAGATGACAGGTTGGCAGTATGAGATGTAACATTTTTGAGATAAAAGCTAGTTTATCATAATTCTTTAGATGATGTCATGTAATGGTAGTACAACTCAATGAGTGACTCAAGATGTGCTACCATGTGTGTTTGAATAGAAAACACTAAAACGCACGCTTTAAAGCTCTTATCTCTTTCAATATATGGAGTATTTCTTTATTGGTTGTGATGTAACAAGTGTTTTTTGATTACCATACAAGTAAACATGTCTCGGTAGCAATAAATTATGTATTATGCAATTTTTTAAAATCATATTTTATATGATAACAGTGAGACATTTCATTCAGTTAATCGCTCACTTTTGTTTCGAATAAAGTTTGCATACATCCGTGATATTTCAACAAGTTCAGTTTATCAAATAATTACCATTGATTCACATAATGATACGTAACATGATTGGTACAGAGACTGAGATAGATGACTTTGTGAGACTGATAAGTGAAGGTGGAATGATAACATAGGCTATAGCAGGATTTGATCAAACATGTTGCTTTCTTATTCACTAAACTACGACACTCAGCTGTTGATAAAGACCTCAGCTCTAATCACCAAGGATTTTCTCGGTCACTTAATTCAATATTAGGATGATTAGTACTCAACTGGAACCAATTCAGGCTAAATACATACTTCTAGTTGTTGTTCATCGTAGACTGACATCACTTGGAGAAACAAAGGAAACCTGAGAGCATCGCACACCTGTTTCGTTCCAGTATGGAACTCCTTAGCAGTAAGCACCCACGACCCTGCCCTCCACGGATAGAACCCCTAACCTTCAGGTTCCGCGGCCAGCGTGTTACCACTGACCCACTGTATCGTGATCCAATGGTCCATATTTCCAACTCCAGTTAGCTCACGATATAGCGTAACCACCACCCAATCTCATTGTTGAGTAACTGTCCTCACGACTATCAGGCTTTGACTCCACCGGTCACGACTTCGCATTGGAACTTCGAGAATCACCTCTCAAAGCTAGTCATCAATGAGCACCAGTTCAATTAAATTGGAACTATGGAGCATTGGATTCTGACTTAAGGGCTCAATGGTAACGTGCTGACCACGGAACCTGAAGGTCTCGGGTTCGATTCCTAGAAGGCAGGGTCGTGGATACGTAGTGCTGAGGAGCCCCATGTTGGGACGAAACAGCTGTGCAATGTTCTCAGGTTTCCTTTGTTTCTCCGACTGATGTCCGTCTACGATGAACAACAACTTGGAATATTCCCAAATCTCCACAACTCCCTGAAAATATACTTGTTAAAAAAGCCTGTCAGTCGGTCTCATACGTTTTTCATGAAGTTATTTGACGGAGTGTGGGAGTTTAGTTTATATAAAATCAAATGTGAATTGTTAATCAGTAAGAAACCTTATAGAATAACTAAACCATTGGAAACTCATAAATTCATTAGATATTCAACAACATAGGAATGGCGATGAAGTGATAGTCTTTGACTAAAAAATAGGCTGCAATTTTTACACACAAGATAGTTAGTTACATTCCTTTAGACAAGAAAACATAATGAAGCCAAGAACCTTGTATTGATATTATTTAGCGTATAGTGAACAGGCAGACTAAATGTCAACCAAGCTATTCGCGTATGAAAAACTAAAAAAATTGTATAATATCTAACAAAATCGACACATCCAATAGAGTTACCATAAACAGAAGATTTGCTGTTCACAATCAAAGTCATTCATATTTTTCACCGTACTGACATTCGAGTTTACTTGAATAAGTATAATCAAGATTTTAGACGGTTTGAAATGCTCTTCAACACTGCTTACAACACTTTGCTCAACCTGATACTGAACCCAGTTCTAAAACACCCGCAAAAATGCCAAAACAGTGTAATTTGGGGGATTTGTCGAAATTTAGTGACTTTTCATGTTGGTATTTATCATGGACTGACATCAGTTGGAGAAGCATTGGAAACCTGGGAGCACTGGACAGCTGGTTCTTCCTAGTGCGAACCTGCGACCTCGCCTCTCAGGGACCGAACCCATGACCTTCAGTTTCTGTGGTCAGCACATTGCTATTGAGCTACTGTGACGGAATCCAGTTATCCATATTGACAACTTCTGTCAGTTTACAACATAGCGTGACTATCATTCAATGTCATTGTTGGGTATTTGTTTTCACGGTCACTACTAGTGCTCGTTGGTGACTAGCTTCGAGAGATGACTCCTGAAGTTCCAATATGAAGTCGTGACCAGTGAGACAAATATAGTGACCACGGAACCTGAAGGTCATTGGTTCGATTCCTAAGTGGGTGGAGTCATGGGCTGATACTGTTGAGGAGTCTCACACTAGGAGGAACAAGCCATCAGGCTTTGGCTCCACTGGTCACGACTTCTCATTGAAACTTCGGGAATCACCTCTCGATTCCTGGAAGGCAGGGTCGTGGGTGCGCACTGCTGAGGAGTCCCATGTTGGGACGAAATAGCTGTCCAGTGCTCCTAGATTTCTTATGTCCTTTCAACTGATGTCATTTCATAATGAACACCAACTTGAAAAATCGAAATAGTGTGTCAAGTGTTGGTGAAATACTGAATGTTTGGCGCTTACTCAATACGCCTAATGCTAGACCACTTAAAGCGAAGGCGAATGCACGACCTCTTTCTTTTTCATCAGTGTAGTAAGTTGCCAACATTCCCATACCTAGTTTAATAAAAGGAGAAAAACAAAGCATATGAGATATATAGTGAAACTTTAGAAAATATTTCACATAAATATTTACCATATAAATTCAGTTGACGTATTAAATGAATCACTCCAGTTTTGTGACTGATTATTCTGGTATGAAACTGGTGGAGTATCCCTTCAGTACGTAGGTGAAAGTTAATAATTTATATTATTCCTTAGTAAATTTCATTGGTTCATGACACTCTTGTATCACTTACGATACGTCCCAATCTTCATTTAACGATTTCTAAGAGAAACGCTGTTGACACTATAGCTGAGCAGTCGGAAAACTTCTCATCTGAGAAGAGTATCAAAGTAAACAATTTGAAGATCAATTATCCAATTGAACAACTTTAGAACTTTAGAAAACCTTAGTTTAGGAATTCTCAGAGGTGCACACCTATAAACCTATTAGAGTTTTAAAAACCATCCGGTAACCTTTCAACCACTAGTTCAAAATTCAGTGCCAGTTGCCTAATATCGTCAGCGAGTACTTATCCTCACATCCTACTTAACTGACCTCATACAAGTTACTACTTCAAATCCGAACTTCAAATTATATGCGGAGACTTGAGTAGTTAATGAATCCAGAGAAATTCATGAAAAAAATGGGATTATTCAGGAAATGCTAGCATAGTTTCAAAGTAAAATCTCAAGTCAGACCATGGTAACCTATTTATGGTATCATATGTAAGAAAACAACCTCGTCTGGTTAACTAGTTGACTAGTTAATAGCCGGTTCCAAGCCCGGGTAAAGAGGGAAGTTTGGCGTAGGGCAAGCAACCCTACCCCGGAAAAAGAATCCAATCACTGAGCAAACTTCAAAGCACAAAGAAAATATAAATATTCAAAAAAAACTTATTCCACTTGACAGAAGTCTTCGGGAAGCTAACTGGTCGATATGTCCTCACTTATCTGGATGAAAACGAAAGTGGAAATGGGGACATGAAATGTCCACACAATCTTTGATGCTGGCAGGCTGGCAAGGCTGTCCAGATTGCAAAAGAGATGAGGAGATATGGTATGGAAGTGTTTGGAATCTGCGAAAGCAGGTGGAATGGCAGTAGACTCTCAAAACTGTCAACTGGATAGTGAATAATCTACTCCGATATTGGCATCCAGACCACAAACATGAGCACAAGGAGAGAGTGGCTATCATGGTGTCACCAAAAACATCCTGGAGAGACAAAAAGATGCACTGCACTCAAAATTACGACCCGAACAGGCTAGCTGGATTCACGAAGAACAATTCATGTGCCGATCAAATACCAACGCAACACTACGCATCATCATGGAACAGAGTATAGAATGCCAGTCAACTCAACTCTACACCTACTTCATCCACTTTGAAAACGCCCTCCACAGCGTCGACCGATAATCGTAATTTGACAGGCAGTTGCTTCAATACTATGAAGTGTCACAAACCTCTATCAACCTTACTCAACAGCTATATGAAGACGCCACATGACAAGTGATCAACAACGCAAAGCTCAGTGACGCCTGTGAAGTGACGACCGGAGTAAGACAAGGTTGCCACCTAATATCTATCATCCATGATACTTCACATTGTGGTCGACTGGAATGGATCATGCAGAAAACCGTGAGGAGCGACAAGATGGGCATACACTGACTGGACACATCAAAAGACCACAAAAGAAGATTCACATTCCACCAACGATGATGATTTATGTCTAATGTCTTGTCACACAAACTCGAAGATCTACACACAAAAACTAACAAGTTGACACAAGAGGTGAAGCAGCGTAAACGAAACTTCAAGTGAATCCACACAAGACACAGGTGATCATCATACACAAACAACAACACCACCAACAACTAGCTCCACATCACCATCAACGAAACTAACCTAAACGAAGTAGTCTCTCTCATTTATCCAGGCAACGCAGCATCCACTCAACTACAAGCAACACACACACACCCACACGAGGATGTCAAAGCAGCCAGCCACCATCGCAAACACACCAACACAGGCTTTCATCATCAATCTGAAATAATCAGTGTGCAGATCGACTGCACTCCACTCAGCATGAAGTGTGAACAACGACCCGATTTTCAACATTAATGTCAGTCAAGTGAGTGCTCCTATGTGATGGTTGAGAGACTTGGTGCATCACGAAGAGCACTTCCAACAAACTACACACATTCATCAACACCTGTCTACACTGGCTCCTTCAATACTGACACTGAAGATCAGATCAGATCAGATGGGATGAGATGGGATGAGATGACATGAGATGAGATGACGAGAATAGAATAATGAGAATAAGCAATAAGGAACTCTGGCTCAATGGGAACGGGCCAACCAAGAAGCCATCGCCCAACAAATATGTAGAAGACGAAGAAGAAGAAGAAGGTGGAGAAGATGGAGTGGATTGTACAAAGACTGAGAAGACCATTCGGGGACATCACACATCAGGCAAGGTGGTTGAGTGGTGGGTGAATGGGAAAGTATGAGTTGGGTGTCGGTGGTGTGGTGTGGTTGACATGGAGTAGATGATGTGAGGAAGAAGTGAGGGTTTGTGGGCATTGTTGGAGCCAGGTTGAAAGGAGTGTAGAGAAGAGAGTTGAATGGATGCGTGTTATTGAAGCCCTATGTTCCACTAGGAACGCAAGGGAATGAAAATAATTATGTTAAAAGGCGCTATGCATCGGTATGAAGAAGGTCGAGACAGAAAATTTCATCTTAATGATTTTAGCGGGAGATTATTTTAAAACAAGATATAAGTAAAATAATTGGTAGTTATTGTTATCTGTGGATATCTATATCGCAGTAAGTGATGAGCTGACTGAACCTATGTTAGAAAGATCTGTCAGCTTGTGAAACATATGTCCTTTGTCCGTGAATAACATGTATGAGGAAATAAGGCTGTAGAACTTCGATAAAGATATCTTTCGACTTTTAGATATCATCAGCTGAATAGTTTTGTTCCAAGCAATTGTTATTTGAAACACCTCAACTCGTCAATTTTCTGACCAAGATTCAAGTATACCTGATCAAATTTATAGTCGACTACTTTTTCTTCTTCCCGAAATCTCAACTAATAAAAAAAATTATATTACACCTTCAAAAAGATTGTTTATAGTCATATAACTCAATTACTAGAGATTTTCCACTTATTCTTCTGATAAAACATACTACTTTGTGTTGACTAGCAAAGATATCAACACTAATCTCGCATTTATGTTGAATTCTAGGATCCATGAAAGATTTTCGACAAAAAAGTTGGCATATATATATGGTATATATTAGAAAACAACGAGTTAGGCGTGTGAGTCAAGGATGAAATGGAGATGGTGTAAAGAAGAGATAAAAGCTAGTGGGAAATGGTTGAACCGGGTTGAAAAGATTGGAGAGAAGAGAGTGAAATGGTGACATGTTCCTGAAGCCCTATGTTCCACTAGGTACGCAAAGGACAAATAATAATAATGTAAGAACCAATTGGTGGAATTCGGAAAGCAAGAAGAAACTTTTGAATATCAATCTACAGCATCTCTACGCTTATAGTCATGGTGAATATATGAAGTGAAGGAAAAATATACCTGCTTCAAGTTTGGAATCTTTAAGATAAAGTGGAAATGTCAGATGATTTATTTCTGTGTTATTTGAACTGTTACCCAAATAGATTTTTTGGTTATTGGATAGTAGTTGGTGATATCTATCCTACCTTACAGTGAAAAACAAGTCAGGAAACGGAAAATAATTTTTTTTTCTATCTAGTCTAGTGTTTGAAAATGATAAAAACAAAACGATAAATTTCACAGGTCAGCTAACCAGATTCAGGGAATCTGAACAATTTCACTATATGAAGTGAATTTGTCTAGGTATACCATTAATGAGCTACTTTGACCCTAAACGATCTAAACAGTTTTCTAGTGTTTGAATTACTGTGATCCGATTGATGGAATCTACAGATCACCTTGAGTTGTTTCTATTCACTCAATTTACTTAGTAGTTTATTTAGCGAGACTATGACACTTTTATATCAAAGATTACATGTAATAATCATAGCTACCAGGTAGTTTTCAATAGAAACTCCATTGATGCAACAGCTGGGTAAGTGAGAAACTACTCAACTATGAGAAATATCCATGTGAACTGAATAATTTGCAAAAAAACAATGAACTATTCAATAGGTCATTTAGTTTTAAATCACTTCCGCTAACCTGATACACTGGAACACGCTGATCCCATTCCTTGAACAGCTCTAGCAACTAACAGAAGGTAATAGTTGTTACCAAATGCAAAAACTGAAAAAAAAGAAGGGATAAGTTGAAGAATTTCACTTACTAATATTACCTCATTAACTAACTGTGAATAATATAAAAATACATCATTGTACTTTCGAGTCTAGTAGTTCTCCAAAGTCAAATACTCAGTGAAAAATATATTAATCATCATCATCATCATCATCGGTATCAACATAAGACCAGGCATTACTGCCTAACGGTCCGAGTTGCCACACCTCACATCAGTCAGTACATCAAGTAAAATGGCAGTGAAAGGGAAGATGAAGAAATGGAAATTCCGTCAAAAGAAATACAAAGTAGTGAAACAGTGAAATGAAGAATTAGAAAATGGTAAGATTCGGTATAGGGTCGTTAAGGTGAAGATAGTGTATGTATACATCTGCAGCACTGACATCGGTTCTCAGCCATATCACCTAGAGTCTTCAACCACTGGTTCCTCTTGTCCCGCGGACCACCACATGTCTCAAACCAGCAGCCAACTACTTCATACATTGGTGTCATGTTTTAGTCTGGCCACCTCAAGCCTTTTTACAGCCTGCACTTACTTCAGCCAACATTGTGTGATGAGGCAATCAGCGACTAGGCATATGTAACACATGTCCCAACCATCTGAGTCAGTGAAGATTCATAATCTCATCAACTGATTTACCTCTTCTCCCTAAAACTCTGCACCTGACTTCTGCACTACTCACGTGGTGACACCATGGAATACGGCCTATACTACGAAGGCAACGGTGGTCAAACACTTGAAGCCTATTCATGTCTTCCATCTTGAGTGGCCATGTTTCACAGACATAGAGTAGAACAGAGTGGATTGCCGTGCAGTACACATGACCCTTAATAGACAAACGGATATCACGGCGGCGTCATAGGTGGCATAAATTGGCAAAAGCCGACCAAGCCTTTTGTATCAGTGCAGAGATTTCAATGCCCACTGAGCTAGCCACCAGGTCTGTTCCTACCTCCCAGGTAAGTGAAGTGTTCGACACACTCAACCACTTCACTCTCTGTTGTTAGTTGTGGCACCGCTGAAGACCAATCCTGGAGCAAACATTTTCATTTGGGTAGTGAGAACCTCATCCCAAACATTCTCAAATTGCCACTCAAAGTGTTCAGAAGACTTTCCGTCTTGTATTAGTGCCGTGTTATGTTATTCAAGTGTTCCATTGAATATGTAGAACTGAAATATTTGTTACCAGTGCACAATGAAAAGTGGACTTAGTAAGCACATGAATTTAAAGTTGAAAATAAAGTTCATATGTAGCGGAAGATGAATATATACACAAAGATAGTATTCATCACCGAGTGACGTCATTTGGAGAACTAGTAAGAAATCCGGAGCACTGAACATCTGTCTCGTCCTAGTATGGGACTCCTCAGTAGGTTAAAGCGGTGGGTGCTGACTGTTGAGCAGTCTCTTAGCATATATATATATATATATATATATATATATATATATATATATATATATATATATATATATATATATATATATATAATAGGTGAACAACTAGGTGTACGGTGAACAGTTTTGACAGTCTTTAGGTGTTGTATATTAACATCAATTCGATAAACATGGGCAACCTAGGAGCACTAGAGAGACTCCTAAGCTATATTCGCCGACTATCCCAACACCATTGGTTTCATTTCCATGGGCTGAATGTCAACTTGTTCAACATAACACCTAAAGATCTGAGACTTGATTTATACATTACCATGGGTATACCTTATTGAGAGGTCCAAAATTAGTATGAAAAAGTTGTCGAGTGCTACCAAAGTCTTTGTCGATTCACCACCTTATGTCAGTTCGTGATGAAAATTACTTTGAGACCTGGGCATTTTGCACACGACATCAGTAATTTGTCAATGTGACGTAGATGAGATACTATATAGCTCATGATTTCCTCCGAATATAACTTTTTTCATCTCTCTTTTTTTTCAATCTCTCACCTTACCATGGCCTTAACACTCACTTTTTTTTCGATTTCATTATAATTAATTAGTTTACTGTTATTATCACCTTCATTATGACCCTTGTCTCATTCTTCACCTTCTTTACATCTATCTATCAAGTGGACACTCAATATTCGCATGTCTTATCTACTAACAATTTTCACCTTGTCAAACTCCTTGCCTTCCTCGATATTTCTACTGTCTTAGTTTATTACACAACTACTTTGCATTGTTGATTCCGGTTTTTTAGCATTAGGTTGATGATGTAATTATACCCCATTGTTTTATAATAGACTACTGTTTTATATGTTTATGATATATACATGAATACGATTGCACAGCTTTAGAAAATGATATCGTCGAAAGAGAAAATTGCCTTCGCTGAATTATCTCTCCTCTATGACTCAATGAGCATATTTCTTAGTCTTTAGATAAAAAGTATCATCACTGAAATATCTTGAAAACTGCAATTGATGTGAAAGTTTCATCCTTGCTATCTGAAGTGTGAGTATCTTTAAACACGAAGAAACCAATGTTACCTAGGTGATTTTAAAGAAAATTGCTGATAATTGAAGTCAGAAACACTTTCTCTGAGCTAATCAATACACAACTGACCTCTTACAGTACTGGATTATACAAACAAGTTGCACACCAGATCCTAAATGCTCACTACTAACTAAAGTCTCATCATCAAATTCACAATTTTAGTCAATGACTTAAGCTAAGTGGTTGGTTATAGATATGTCTTACTGATGAGTTTCAATAATACCTAAATACAGAGTGATACAGTGTTGTATACTTCAACATAGTGACTATACACGAAAGCTGATGATCCATGTATGAGCACGTATGATTTAGTACTTTTGATGACTGATTCAATATCAATCAAAGTTTTGATCACTTTTGCAATGATTATCCTGTATTAAATGACTATAAATCTCTATGACTAACTCACTTTAATTCAGTGTCTTAAAATCTTAAGGTGACACGTACTCATTACAATAGATTCAACTGATTAAGTAAAACTTATAAAGTTTCAAATGTATTTTATTTTCCACAATAATTGTGTTGTACCAGTGTTCAATTCATTGTAAATCTTATTAATGAACAGTTAGTTGCTAAGCTGAGTGAAAGTATAAAGAAATGCTTGACAAGTAGCATATGTATAAGGTCGCTTCAGTGTACATTTCTCAGTCAGTTATGAATGTAATCACAACACAATTCTAGTTTAATATTTTAAACTACACAAACTTTTCAAGATTCCATTTTATGAACATACCATTCTTTTTAGTTTGTTCAACTCAGAAACTGTATACAAGTTTATGCACTAGGAGATTATCAGTCAAAACTACTGATTTATATGTATCTGTGTTAGGAGTTACCTTGAGAGAACACTGAAAAGAATATACCTAAGATTCTTTGAACATGTATCAAATAGCTTATATCTCCCAAGAACAAGTTCATTCGATAGTGCAGTCACCTGGCATCTTATTGACACAGAGCATGACGTCGACATCTTAGAATCCGTCAGTGTTACTGAAACCTTATCAATCTCGTTTAGGTTGTAACGATCAAACGACTGAACCGAGAATTATGTGTTAAAAAAGAAAGCTATGATAAATGTCTCTTTGCCTTCGTCATCTAATTTATTTTGCTCTGCCTCTTATCTGATATCATTGTCTTTTGATTGAACCCTTTTTCTGTTCATACATAGTTTTGATCATCGCCTTATCAACTGAATTCAACTCACTTTATGATCAATTCAATTTTGAGGTCTATGGAAATTTATTGATTTCAAGTTGGTACTCATCATGGACTGGTATCAATTGGAGAAACATTAAAAATCTGGGAGTACTGGACAGCTGTTCCGACATATTACTGGACTGCTCAATAGTATGCACCCACGACCCCACCCTCCCAGGGGTCGAACCCATGACCCTCAGGTTCTGCTGCCAATATGTTACCAATGAACCCCTGGTTCGTAATCTAATGGTTCATATTTCACAATTCAGTCAGTTCACAATGTAGTGCGACCTCTATCAAATGCTGTCGTTAAGTAATTCTCCTCATGTTCGACTTGGCTGGCCCAACCGGTCACGACTTTGGGAATCACCTCTTGAAGTTAGTTTATTTATTCTTTATCATCAACTAGCCGACTTGTTAATTTTCTTGCATAATTTTCCGTCAGCACTTATCCTCTCGAACTCTGTGTTGAGACATATTAGAAAGTGAAGACCCGTAGCATATCTTGGGCACTCTATTTGAAAGTTTGTATTTGAGTTGGAGGCAATCGACAGGAAGCCGTGCTTCACCTAAGTTTTGTACTTGCTGACGCTCGTCAGAAAGTCGTATCTGCAACCTCAAAGGAATTGATCTCTCCCATTAGATTCTAACCCCGTGTCACTCAGTGTCTCAGTCACCGATATTACGACTGAGCTACTCAAGCTGCGGTTAGTCTACTGCAGGACTGGATTACATCCATTGACTGATCACTGAAGAGCTACCCATCTCATGTTATCTAGTTCACAGTGCTGACCGAATTCCATCGACTACTCAGTCCTTACTGGCCACCCATAGCTTGTATAGCTGAGTGGTAGCGTCACTGGGTACGACAGTGGGTAGCGACGGTTCAGTTCTCAGGCTAGACACCACTCCCTTTTCTAAATTCCAGATATGCCTGGCTGATGAGTACCAATAAGCACGAAATATAGGTCCAGGGCTTCCTACCGATTACCTCCAACCAACTGATATCTATCATAGTGCGCTATAATACTAGGCCTCCTAGCTTGGTGTTCACACCTCAAAAATTACCAACAGAACTCGGTCAGCACTCAGAACCAGACAACATGAGACTGGTTGCTCTCCACTTATCAATCAATTGGTGTTTGTATTTATTGTTAAACCATCTCCTTCCCTCCTAACCAAGTTCATGTAACGGAAAAACATATGCTCAAGTTCTCTTGTTTTATGTTTTAGGTTACAAACAGCTAGTGAGACAGCTGTAGACTAACGTCACTGAGTAAAAATAATGTCCAAGATAAAACATTAAAGTCCCTTAGTTGGTTATAATTTCTCCACCGATAGCTGCCACATTGAAGCTGTGACTGACTGCAACACTTGTTCCCTTGAGGTTCTACCATGCCAGAAAGATGTGTTCGATGGTGGTAAGATGAATAAAAGTTACCGTTATAGTGTCACTTCCTGCATCATGATAGGGGTCAGAGAGAGAACTCGTACTGCTGATTAGATGGAGTGTGATAGTAGTGCTACGCTAATCCTGCATTACCTATGGGAAGTGGAGGTTAGAAAAGATTGCCCTCCCCCTATTCCACGATCTTCTGATGTTAGCAGTATAGGTTTTCTCTATCCTGCCTTAGAATAGTCAAACCTTGAAACGACAATCCCATAAAAGACTAAGTGTGACAGACCTCATGCAGATATCCCATTGGCTCTGTGGTCATACGAATCCTCTTCTCTTTCGGGTACTTTAAGAAGTCTGTCTGGTTATAATTTATGAAGTTGAAGGCTGAAGTGATGTCTAGCAGAAAGCAGAGACTACAAAGTCCTCTATAAATTCGATTTTTTCTTCACATCGATATCTTTTTACCATTTGTTTTTTGGCAAATAAGTGTCTCCAATGATTGGTATTACAATTATAAATGAAATTAGTCAACTAATTTTTTTTAACAATTGACCTTATTTGGAACTGGTTTAGTGTATCAGTTGGTTACTGGATGGAAAAAAATGTCAAAATAGTTCACTATAACCTTTCAGCTTAAAAATATCATAAATCGATAAACACAGAGAGTAGTAGTAAAATAACTAATGATAAATGGTTCATTCTCATTATCAGATCTTACTGATGGTACCCAGATAACCAATAAACTATATTGGTTATCAGCCAGGTGGTTAAAAGAAATAATTAAGCTGTGACAAAAATCAAAATACAATCTGAGAATAATTTTCAAACCAATTTATTCCCATTATAACATATTGCGCTTAGAAGATTCTTTAGCGATTGGATGGCGCCTAATTATCCTGCTGTCCACCCCTAGCAAGCAAAATAGTATGCCATATTATCCTGGAGAGACTAAAAGATGCACTGCACTCAAAATTACGACCCGAACAGGCTAGCTGGATTCACGAAGAACAATTCATGTGCCGATCAAATACCAACGCAACACTACGCATCATCATGGAACAGAGTATAGAATGCCAGTCAACTCAACTCTACACCTACTTCATCCACTTTGAAAACGCCCTCCACAGCGTCGACCGATAATCGTAATTTGACAGGCAGTTGCTTCAATACTATGAAGTGTCACAAACCTCTATCAACCTCACTCAACAGCTATATGAAGACGCCACATGACAAGTGATCAACAACGCAAAGCTCAGTGACGCCTGTGAAGTGACGACCGGAGTAAGACAAGGTTGCCACCTAATATCTATCATCCATGATACTTCACATTGTGGTCGACTGGAATGGATCATGCAGAAAACCGTGAGGAGCGACAAGATGGGCATACACTGACTGGACACATCAAAAGACCACAAAAGAAGATTCACATTCCACCAACGATGATGATTTATGTCTAATGTCTTGTCACACAAACTCGAAGATCTACACACAAAAACTAACAAGTTGACACAAGAGGTGAAGCAGCGTAAACAAAACTTCAAGTGAATCCACACAACACACAGGTGATCATCATACACAAACAACAACACCACCAACAACTAGCTCCACATCACCATCAACGAAACTAACCTAAACGAAGTAGTCTCTCTCATTTATCCAGGCAACGCAGCATCCACTCAACTACAAGCAACACACACACACACCCACACGAGGATGTCAAAGCAGCCAGCCACCATCGCAAACACACCAACACAGGCTTTCATCATCAATCTGAAATAATCAGTGTGCAGATCGACTGCACTCCACTCAGCATGAAGTGTGAACAACGACCCGATTTTCAACATTAATGTCAGTCAAGTGAGTGCTCCTATGTGATGGTTGAGAGACTTGGTGCATCACGAAGAGCACTTCCAACAAACCACACACATTCATCAACACCTGTCTACACTGGCTCCTTCAATACTGACACTGAAGATCAGATCAGATCAGATCAGATCAAATCAGATGGTATGGGATGAGATGAGATGAGATGAGATGACGAGAATAGAATAATGAGAATAAGCAATAAGGAACTCTGGCTCACTGGGAACGGGCCAACCAAGAAGCCATCGCCCAACAAATATGTAGAAGACGAAGAAGAAGAAGAAGGTGGAGAAGATGGAGTGGATTGTACAAAGACTGAGAAGACCATTCGGGGACATCACACATCAGGCAAGGTGGTTGAGTGGTGGGTGAATGGGAAAGGATGAGTTGGGTGTCGGTGGTGTGGTGTGGTTGACATGGAGTAGATGATGTGAGGAAGAAGTGAGGGTTTGTGGGCATTGTTGGAGTCAGGTTGGAAAACTATGGAGGAGAGAGTTGAATGGATGGGTGCTACTGAAGCCATATGTTCCACTAAGAACGCAAGGAATAGATAATTATGATAGCATATTGACTTATTGAAGTACTCAGATAGCCTCAGTTTGGCAGACTAGGATTTATCCTGGGTGATGATTGAAGATGGATTCAAACCAGCGACCACCACGTCTCTGGCTCGATACTCTACCAACTGAACTATAAGGTAAGAGCATATTTTCATTTCCCCTTCAACTGTCATTCAGTATAAATACTTGTCTGCCAAACTACAACTATCACAGATAATGAAAATGATTATTCAGGTACATTGGTTGGCATCATTTATTGAGTAATTTGACTCCCCTATTAATTTTAAATGTATTCAAGATGTTGGCCGACAAATACAGATGACAATTCCATGTCTGTGTCACTACAATCTAGTCATAAACGTTAGTAGATCAGCCTAAGTAGTTCTTCTCTAGTATGTATTAATAATTTTGCATTAGAGATTGTAATCTATTAACTTAATCGAATAGTTTTCAATACATAGCATGTTGTAATCATAGCTGATCATTTGATGAATGAATCATTTTTGAAAATGATCAGCAATGATTATGCAATTTATAATTAACTTTACTATTAGTGTTATTACTTGTATTACACCGTCGTTGATTCGACCGAATTGATTAGTCTCTGTTGGCATATAGGCTCGTTTGCGGATGCCTTGGTATTGCGTGTCTTTTAACTATGTATAGAATCTAAGATGTGCATCCTGGATTCCACTGCTAGTCACTGCCTATCATAACTTTACTATTCATTATATTATTGATAAGTTTATCAATTAACTTACTCATTGTTGATACAAACATGATAATCAATCCAGTAAACATTGGAATACTATAACCAATTCTATTTTAAAAATAAACAATAAAAAAAATAAGAATAAATAAGTAGATAGTTTTAATTTGAAAGTAAATAATTTGATATACTGTATATGCTGCCTTTCATTATATACTCTTCTTCATAAATTTAAAAGTGATACTGATAACAGTTGAGTAAGGAAAACTACTTATGAGCACATGTTTGAAGTGTGTGACATATAGCAGTTAAAGGTGGAATCTGTTCCATTTTAGTTGATTTCTTAAATGGATTATACAGTGAAGGGATAGTATCATTTACTGGATTACATTTCAGACACAACTTATTGTCTATATTGTCATATCAAGATAACCCTACAACTTAAAAAGACAAGGTTTATATAGTTTTAATGCTATTGCTTCCTTTGTGATATGGGTAGTAGACTTCTCCACATATCCGAAAGAAATGCTGAGTTATTCCTGTTGTATGTATTAGGTGTTGATTCAATAATCAAAGATTTGGTTGTCAGTCTTTCGATCTATCCTATTAGGTTAGTTTTAGGGATTTCCACTCTTTCCCATCCTATTATATGATTGTGTTTAATTGCATGTGGAGGTATAGTCGAGCTTTTTTTTCTAGATTCTTCATCTTACTGGAATCTACCCCTTTCGATTTAGATAGGTTTTTATAGTGTGCTTAGATAGACTAACGGAATCTAGTGGATTATTACGCCTGATGTATTTCACCTCACAATCATAGTGAGCGATTTGTTTGATAAATTAGGTTATTCTGCCTAATTGGATCAATAGGTTTATATCACACTCTACTGCCAGAATTATTGAGAATCCTAAGTAATATCGCTGAAGTGCATTCTTGGTTGGCATAATGTAGAGGTTTTGAACTTCCTCTTAACAGTATTGCCAATGCTACTATTTACATTATTGCTACTGCTATTAACACCTATGTTACTAACATTAGCCATATTTCTCTTAAGATTCCTAAGGAACATACTCATTAATTTGGAGGGCTAACTGTTGTTCACTCTCAAAGATCTACAGGTGAAAACTAACAAGTTGACACAAGAGGTGAAGCAGCGTAAACAAAACTTCAAGTGAATCCACACAACACACAGGTGATCATCATACACAAACAACAACACCACCAACAACTAGCTCCACATCACCATCAACGAAACTAACCTAAACGAAGTAGTCTCTCTCATTTATCCAGGCAACGCAGCATCCACTCAACTACAAGCAACACACACACACACCCACACGAGGATGTCAAAGCAGCCAGCCACCATCGCAAACACACCAACACAGGCTTTCAGCATCAATCTGAAATAATCAGTGTGCAGATTGACTGCACTCCACTCAGCATGAAGTGTGAACAACGACCCGATTTTCAACATTAATGTCAGTCAAGTGAGTGCTCCTATGTGATGGTTGAGAGACTTGGTGCATCACGAAGAGCACTTCCAACAAACCACACACATTCATCAACACCTGTCTACACTGGCTCCTTCAATACTGACACTGAAGATCAGATCAGATCAGATCAGATCAAATCAGATGTATGGGATGAGATGAGATGAGATGAGATGACGAGAATAGAATAATGAGAATAAGCAATAAGGAACTCTGGCTCACTGGGAACGGGCCAACCAAGAAGCCATCGCCCAACAAATATGTAGAAGACGAAGAAGAAGAAGAAGGTGGAGAAGATGGAGTGGATTGTACAAAGACTGAGAAGACCATTCGGGGACATCACACATCAGGCAAGGTGGTTGAGTGGTGGGTGAATGGGAAAGGATGAGTTGGGTGTCGGTGGTGTGGTGTGGTTGACATGGAGTAGATGATGTGAGGAAGAAGTGAGGGTTTGTGGGCATTGTTGGAGTCAGGTTGGAAAACTATGGAGGAGAGAGTTGAATGGATGGGTGCTACTGAAGCCCTATGTTTCACTAGGAACCCAAAGGACAAATAATAATAATAATAATAATGAACTGCTGTTCAGTAAGATACCTTTAATGTATCTGATACCTTGCCTTAAATCTTCTATTTCACTCTTAAGCTTTTGGCCCTGCTACTTTCCCGAACCCAACTTCTAAATGATATTGGGTGACATGATTTGAAGTGTAGGCGAGGACTCAAGTGTGAGGGTCTTCTATAAACACCGGTGCCTAAACTCCCCACTGGCTTTCATTCGATTCTCCTATCCAATATCGCTAGTACCACCTTCATCATTTTATAATACTAAATACTGCATTCATTCATATACGTGTGTAAAGAAACTGTGTGTGTGTTCTTTAATTTCAACAATATAAAATTGTCATCTACATATACTGATCCCGACGCCTACTCAGTATCTCGAAGTGGAATAAATAGGAATCAGAAGGATTCAAAAATTTCCTACTTCCATCTCGTCAACATACAAGTAGATCAACCTGAGAAAGGAAGCTCGACTGTGGTCTCCTTTCAAAATGGAAACGCCTGTTCAGTGAGTTGTTTATATCTTAACATTGCGATTACTAACGAAATTGTTGGCACAATAAATGCAACAAATATAGTATTTGTGGAAACCACTCATGCAATGAGATTGAGAAACATTCATTCCACAACTGTCACACGTAACACCTTCTTCCTATAATCAATCTTGCCCATTTCCACACTCTTCGTAATGAATTCATTTCAACGTTTCTTACTGAATTCATTGAGCACCTGAGATTACCATTATTAGAAGTTTAGTCTTCATTGCGTTTTCGTCAAATGGTCAATATTTTGATGGTAGTGTTTCGCCCTCTGCACTCATCAGCCTATTCGTCAAACCTTCCCTACCAGTCAACAAGTTCCCTACTCTTAAAATCTGTGCACAATCACTGTCTTCTTCATTGATTATGCAAGCTGAATGAAGAGGTTAACAAGCTGTGGAAGTACAACACCTCGAAAATTCATCTCCTCAATGACGGAATACTCAATGTTGTGACAAATCAGTCAATCGTAAATTATTCACATCGTGATATTTTCAGTGGAAAAATGTTTGCCAAGTACTTCCAACCACAGATATTACAATTATAAATCTGTGGATGCTGACTTGTACATGGTTTTTTGAGTCAGACGGATAGATGAATTCACGTAGAAAGTGGCACAGGTATGCATCATTTCACATTGGCACACTAAACACTAGCATTAACGGAGAGACTGTATGGGGAATGAATGAGGTAGAAGTCGACAAGAGTGTATGAGAAGAGAAAAAGTGAATGGAATGAATGTGATGAAATCAATGAAGTCTTCAAGGATGTGAAGGAGTGTGTATAAATGTGTGAGATTTTGATGAGATGTGAAGCATGTTATGAATGGTGTTCAATGAATGTGTTTTGTTATCTGTTCGACGCTGACTAGACTGTGTGGTATGATAGTTGATATGTTTAGTATTGTGAGGAGATGGTGATGAATGTATGCAAGTGTGAATGAGTGACTGACAATCAGAACAAGCTTTTCAGTATTTCCATTCAATGTTACTATTATCTCAACTAAGTCTAGATGACTTGTAATGTTACGTAGTAATTTCCTTTGAAAACCGTCCTTTTCTTCTGGGTCGAAGCATTTCTGTGGGATATTGGCATTAGTATTTTTGAACAAATCCCCCTGTTTAATGAAACCTACTACGGTTCCTAATACCATTTCATTTACTACTGAAATAAGGACAGCTATTGTGACGTAAAAGCTCTTCTTCATTGATCTAGCTGTGCTTATCAGTTCTTCACATTAGACCGGAAAACAAGTACAAACTAGAAACTAACAGTTTATTCGCCACCGTGATCAGTAGGCGCGAGCAGTCAAATGTGAAGCGGATATCAACTGAAGACGTTGGTGGACAGCTGCTCTATCCCACAAAGTGACAGAAGTAAAAACTGTGCAGTCACATGACAGAAGGAAACAGTACTCTATGGTTTTCAGTAGTTCTTGAACTAATGTCAGTCCCTGATGGGTTCGAACTTGAAATTTTAAATCCCTATAAACGTCAAACTACATATCATTTATATTAAAAGCGAAAATCTCGGCATAGAAGCTTCCTATATGCCAATAACGACCGGTCAACTCGGTTCAAGCTATAACATGAAAACAGGTAATTGTCATCAAAAGACTTAATGGTAGTTAATCACTTACAGGTATAAGTACTCAACAGATTATGATATCACGCTACTTTATGACTACGAAACTCATGAACAGTTAATTCATTCCTTCATTTTGTTGATATGCATGTTGTATTTGTTAGCTGCTATGCAATAGCTACCTGTATGAACTCATGAATAAACAATCCTATTCGGTAGAAGATTCAAATATACCGAATGATACACTGTACAACTGGAATACATGCATAAATTAATCATCAGATGTTGATATTATCATTAATAATATTTTTCCGTTGGATTCCTAGTGGAGTATACGACTTCAAAAGCACACCTCCATTCCACTCTCTTCTCTCCAGTCTTTTCAACCTGGCACTTGGTCCAGAAATACTGCCTGCAGCAGCTGAACTACAAGTGAACATAAATCCTCCAACAAAAATGGAAGTCCTTAACGCCATAAAGCTACTGAAATGCGGGAAAGTAGTAGGACCAGATGGAATCCTGCCAGAAGCACTGAGAACAGACGCAGAGACAACAGTGGACATGCTCACACCATACCACTCTTGCAAAAGGTGTGGAAGGAAAAGGAGGTACCTGCCAACTGACTGGAAGAAGGGTTACCTTGTCAAACGCCCGAAGAAGGGAGACCTCGGTGTTTGCAAGAACTGGCGAGGAACCACGCTCCACACCTGTCCGCACCAAGCAAAATATTAAGCCGCATCATCCTGGAGAGGCTTAAGGATGCACTGTATTCAAAACTACGACCGGAACAGGCTGGCTGGCTGGCTGGCTGGATTCAGGAAGTACAAATCATGTGCGAAACAAATTGCAACGCGACACTACGCATCATTATAGAACAGAGTATAGAATGGCGGTCAACTGGATCCTTTACCTCAACTTTATCGACTTTGAGAAGGCCTTTGATAGCGTCGACCGAGAAGTAATTTGGCAGGCAGTTGCTTCAATACTACGGAATACCACAAACCTTTATCAATCTCATTCAACAACTATATGAAGATGCCACATACCAGGCAAGTAATTCACAATGGGAAGCTCAGTGATGCTTTTGAAGTGAAGTGAAGACAGGAGCAGGAGTGAAACAAGGCTGTCTACTATCACCCATGATATTCCTGACAGTGATCGACTGGACTGTATCATGCAGCAAACAGTGGGGAGCGAGAAGATGGGGATACGCTGAACCGGGGAAAATATCCTAGAAGATTTGGATTTCGCCAACGATGACTTGTGCCTGATGTCTCATTATTCCATTCTCGTCATCTGATCTGATCTAATCTGATCATCAGTGTCAGTATTGAAAGAGCCAGTGTAGACAGGTGTTGATGAATGTGTGTAGTTTGTTGGAAGTGCTTTTCGTGATGCGCCAATTCTCTCAACCATCACATAGGAGCACTCACTTGACTGACATTATTGTTGAAAATCGGGTCGTTGTTCACACTTCATGCTGAGTGGAGTGCAGTCGATCTACACACTGATTATTTCAGATTGATGATGAAAGCCTGTGTTGGTGTGTTTGCGATGGTGGCTGGCTGCTTTGACATCGTCGTCTGTGTGTGTGTGTGTGTGTGTGTTGCCTGTATTTGAGTGGATGCTGCGTTGCTGGATAAATGAGAGAGACTACTTCGTTTAGGTTTTTCGTTGATGGTGATGTGGAGCTAGTTGTTGGTGGTGTTGTTGTTTGTGTGTGATGATCACCTGTGTCTTGTGTGGATTCACTTGAAGTTTTGTTTACGCTGCTTCACCTCTTGTGTCAACTTGTTAGTTTTTGTGTGTAGATCTTCGAGTTTTTGTGATTAGACATTAGACATAAATCATCATCGTTGGTGAATGTAAATCTTCTTTGTGTTCTTTTGATGTGTCCAGTCATTGTATGCCCATCTTGTTGCTCCTCACAGTTTTCTGCATGATCCAGTCCATTAGATGTTTGGCTTTCAAAATTAAATGAAATCTGTAAGGATAATGCTTTCAGTTTATTGTATTAGTATTCAGTGAATAGAAGTAGTTGAATTAAGGCACTATGAATATTGGTAATCTTCATTAAGAAGTATTTTTTTTCAGTAGTATAAATAAATATTGGTTAAATTATTGTTTATAAAACATTAAATTACTTACCTATTTGTAATTGGACCAATAAATGGATTACATATCAACTGAACAATTGGCTTTATTGCAAACATCAGACCAATTTCATTACTATGTTCTTCGTGGTTCATCTCATGATAAGTCTTATTTGATTGATTAAAGCAACGTATAAAATCTGTGTTATTGATTTCTATAAAGAAAAAAATTATTATTCATTTTCCTGTATTACTAGATGTTCTTAAATTAAATACTCCATCATTGCATTCACTGCCTGATGTTTCATTTTCAATAATCTTGCTAATTTTATCTCCATCACTAAGTATTTTGGGCACAATTGGAACTGAAATGTAGAGTAAAAAAAGAGATCAAAAGTTTTCATCATCGAAATTTACTATTCCTTTTAAAACAAGCATGAATGGGATCCAGTCCATTTCAATGATCCATTAAAAACGGTAAAATGTAAGATTTGTAGAGAGATGGTTAATCCTGGTGTGGTCTTTGCCATGAAGTGACAAAATTCACTTGCTAACTTTGAGACTCTCACCTTATCTCGTCTTAGAATCTTGACTGTACAATGCTGAGGAGATTGAAACCAGGAAGAAACAACTGTTTAGTATGGTCAGGCTACTAATGGTTCTCCTAAAGATATCCATAATAAGCGCCATCCTGGTTAAAAAATCTGCTAGGTAGCTGAATGATAGTTAGGTTTCAGTTTCCTTTAGATCAACAATGATCCCCATTGACTGATCATGCTAAATAAAGACACATTGAGTGACTTTTCATTGAACTAGCTGACTAGTCGAATCGTAACATTTCAATTATAGACAAAATAACTATGAAGATTAATCGATTACCCCTTAGTTACGACTCTCAAGATGTCTTTATTCGATTAACTGACAAGAGATTAGGAGTTAAAACTCGGCATAGATTATCAACTGTGCCTCATTAATCGATGATATTTGAACAAATAAACCTCACGATAATGACTTTGCAATCGTTAAATAAACAGATAGACAAAAAGACGCTCACCGATAGCTGTCAGCAGCATATTATCAAGTAGAATTGCAATGAAAACAATAATCATGATCATCCTGTGACTATTGAACAGAGTTTTAAGCGACTCATAACAACTTTTAGTCTCCTTCTGTTTATTTTTGACATTCCCTTTCATTTCTTGTATAACTTCCACACTCATCTTCAAATATACCTTTTTCTTACCTGTAAAACAATTGAAAAAGATTTACTTTTTATAAAAATAATTTCATAATTGATTTGTATAAAACTTTTATCGCAGTTGCATGTTGGTTGGTAATTTGGTTGGAGGCAGTTGCAAGGACGCCTCTTCTTTCGCTGCTTTTTCCTTGTCAGTGCTTATTCATCAACAACATCTGTAACCTTGAAGCAGGTGGTACTATGTAGGTGGTAGTTGATCAGTCATCAGTGACCAATGTAGCTGTCTACCATTTACGGCTTAGTACTGACCAGATTTCATAAATAAACTTTGCAATAACGCTAAAATACTCATTAAAGTTTGACCGAGTATAGCATTTTGGTTTACTCCTCGTATTGTAAACTTGGTTAGTACACTTCAGTCAACGTTGATAAATTTCTATCCTCTTTCTACTCCTAAAGCAGATCAGTAGAAGAGTCTACGACTTTAGAGTTGAATACCACAGATTCAAGCTATCGAAAAAGACCATTTTTCTTATAAAAAGCAACAATTCGAACGAAGATTATTTTATTTCAATAAATATTCTCTTCACGTTCTACAATTATAAAATGCCTTTGTGAAGCTTAAAAACAAGCCGTAAAAAGGGCAGTGACATTTTCAAAATGGAGTGAGATTAAGGGATTGTAAGGAAATCGATTTATCTTTTTTAAATTAATCAATATTTGGATGATAAACATACAGAAGAATGATATGACAGTGAAACAAAGAGATGACAAATAAGATAACAAGAGTAGCCTTTAGTTAGCTGAAGGCCAAGGGATAAGTAACTCTTGAACATATTCTTTCTAAATGCAGAGTATAAGCTTGATCAAATTTATCGCGATAGCCTCCTTTATGTTACCCAGACTTTGGTGAGCTACATATGGTATTGTTTTTGGAATGCGATCAATGACACTGAAAGTTTTATTAGCATCTATGTGGTGCCCTGTGTCGACGAGAAGCGCTAAAACAGAACCGTTCAAAACTTTTAATTCACCTTTCCCGAACCAAGCCGATAAGCGCTCTTGTATGAGGAGACTCACCTGCATAATCATACATCCTATGTAATTTGTTCAACAGGAACAGTTAAACTGATATATGCAGGATGAAGAGCTAAGATAGGCTATTGTCTAGTCTCAGAATGAGCATTAGCCGACTACTGAAAGATATACAAGATGACCTTAATAAGAGATCGAAATGACTGATCTAGCTGAACGTTGTGATACAATGTCACCTGCAACATCTCCATTGAACTGTAAGCGCAGAAACACAGCCTTCTTACAACTGTCATCACTTAGAATATTATGGAAGCAAACTAGTTCTTTCTGCATAAACTTCTTGAAACGAATCAATCTTACTCTAAATGTCACGCACTTGATTATATTACCTTTATAATTCATCCGTACGAAGCTGAGAAAGTGCCTATACCGTGCTTAAGACGTTGGTTTTCTATACACGCTTCTCAGTATAGAGGCATCGTCTTTCATGTCACTAGCATAACAAGAAAGTGTATGGGATCATTGATTTCCTATTCACATCAATACAGATACGCCATGTTAATACGTGCCAACAAAAAGGAACATATTCCGTAACAAATTACATCCTAGTACAGGAAAGTTGTAAAAAGATTCAAAACTAACCGATGTAATCAATGTAATGGCGGAACTCCATCTGGTCCTAATGCTTTCTCGATTTCCGCAAATTCATAGCGTTCATGAGTAAACTTATGCTGTAGTCGGAAAGTTGTGTTCACTGGTAGTTCTGCGCTTGCTGCTGGTGTTTGTCGACGAGTTACAGGTAGCGATGCCGGTGGTGGTGGTGGTGGTGGTCCGTTCAAGAGTTCTGTGAAGTGATCAGCCCACTGCTTCCTTTCTTTCTTCCCTCTCTTGACTAGGTTTCCTTCATCAACTATCAATGGTTTCATCTGTCTTGATCTCGTCCCAGACAGTAAGTAACCTGGTTATTTGACACAATACTATAACGTCTCTCCGACCTACAGCCTGTTTCGTTTCACTTGCCAATGTGTCATAGAAGTGTTTTTTGTGTTTGCACGCATTCTTCTCCACTTCATTGTCCAGTGTAATGGTTTATATGCTACACTCAGTTCCTCTTCTCGTTGTTCATCCCTGCAATGCACTCCAACACACTCCACTACACTAGTGCATCTTCCAATTCACCATCTCCCTCTCACTCCTCCATCAGCTTCCATGCATCCGTGCAGATACATTATCCCTCTTGTCCTCCCCTCTTCCTTCCCAACACGGTTATACAGGTTTCCCTCAACACCTCTTTCAAACAGTTCTAGTGCTCTTCCACACACGTTTCCTCAAGAATGTTGCTCAACGTCTCCCTTTACTCCTGATGACCGACTGACGTGAAGATGTCCTTTGTTATTTCATCCTTCACTTCAGATTCTCTTCTAGGTGGGTGTTCGACTCGAAACATGATCTATCATCTGCTTCTTTCATGGCTCTCAACTTGATTTTGAGGGTGGGTTCCTTGCACCAGACAGTGTGTGATGTGAACACACATCTGCTTCTCCTCTTCATCTGATCATGTATCCAGTAGGCTGGTTGCGTCTCCACTTCCTCCACAGTGAGATGAAATCGATCTGATTTTCAGTGTGGTGTGTCCTGGTGTCGGGTGACATCAACTCCATGTAGGGTTTGTACACACTGCCTCAGTCGAATCACCAAATCGTTGAATGCACAGAAGTCTGTAAACAAATCTCCATTCTCATTCATCATTTCATCGAGTGCTTCTCCACCCACGATCAGTTCTATTCCTGTCTTGTCCGCTCTCGGTTTGGCATTCATATCACCCATCAGAAGTTTGATGCCGCCAACTTCACTGGGGTCTTGTCCATTACTGATTACAGTTGTCTGTAGATTTCCTCCTCCTTCTCTTCACCTGCATTATTTGTAGGTGCGTAGTGTGGTGTGGTGTGGTGTGGTGTGGCGTGGAGTAGCATTGTATGATTGTGACTCACATTCCTTTTCACTTGAATCCATCTCGCTATCATGATCCTGATCTTGCAGGAGGAGATTGATTCCCACTGCATGACAGACAGCCTTCGATGCTCTTGGAAGGGAGACATCATGATAGGCACTCGAAAACTCAGTGTGCTCATGGTTGTGTTCTGGGTGACAGTATCGGAGTAGATTATTGACTCTCCAGTTGACAGTTTGGAGAATCCAATTCCATTCCATCTGCTTCGTCAGATTCCTCGCAGATTTCTAGCACTTCTATGCTATCTATATCTTCGCATCTCTTTTGCAATCTGAGCAGTCTTGACAGCCTGTCAGCCTCAGACATTGTGCAGACATTCCATTTCCTCATGTTTACCTTTGCTTTCATTGAGAGAAACGATGACACATCGGCCAATAGGCTTCCTGAAGACTTTCACCAAGTGGTATTATTTCGTCTCCTCGATTCTGGGGAGGAATAAGTTTGTTTTTATGTTTTATGCTTTCTTTGTGCTTTGAAGTTTGTTTAACGGTTGGATTGTTTTTGCGTGGTAGGTTTGTTATCTCTCTGTCCAAACTTCCCTTTTTATCTGTGCTTAGGATTGGCTAATATCTACTGAACAGGTTAACACTTGATTAGCTCCCAGGAATTACAAAGCTGTTGAAGCAGGTAGATAATCAGAACAAGTGAAACACCTATTCGTAGTAGTAGTAGTAGCAGTAGTGGTAGTGGTTTCTTTAGTAGCAGTATTATAATTATCATTATTATTATTTGTTGTAGTAGTACAGTGTGAGAAGTAGTGGTTGTAGAAGAAGCAGTAGCAGTATTGGTAGAGGTAGCAATGCCAGTAGTGTTAGTAGTGTGAGTAGTAGTAATACATTTGACACCGATTTCCGAAGTTTCCCTTATCTAACTTATTTTAAGTTGGTCTGAATTCTCTCATTTCGACTTCTTTTATTATGTGAACTGATATGTTTTCTCCTATTTTTAAGCCATTAACTAGTGTCTTGAGATGTTCGATATACGACATGCTGACAACCTATTTACTAATTCAGGCTGAATCCGGCTGATGCAAATGGTGTGCAATGAAATGATGTCATCCCATTCTGTTGTTGGTATTCTCATCGCTTTTTTCGGCTTCATTTGTTTACATTTCTCACTGGTTTCCAAAAAACTGAATATATTTAAGGATACGACTACATACTTTGATTGGTTTAATGGGAAGATTTGGGTTTGGATCGATATTATCTTACAGAGAAACGCTATCACAATGTTTTTGGGATTCCAGTTACATCAGAGCAGTGGCACCTTCTGTCGAAGTTAACTGATCATCCTTAAAATGATTAAACTTGGAAAATATTCTTGAACGTAAATTGATCATTAGTTAGCAACCAATTTCATGTTGGGTAGTTCTGGTTGAATTATATCGATCATTCTGCTGTGTGACCAGCAAACTAGGAGGCTCACCATGAGAATACACTTTGATGGATGTTAGTTGGAAGAAGGCAATCACCAGGAGGCCCCACATCACTTAGGTTTCACGCTTGTTGACACTGTGGTCTCAATGAAACCAATATCCCGCGTGTTTCGAATCCGTGTCACCAGGGTTTCAGTCTGCGATGATACCACCGAGATATTCAGATCACGACTGACATCATGTAGGACTAAACTACATACACTGATTGGTCACTGCATAGCAACCAATCTCACGTTGTATTGTCCTAAAAGCTAACCGAGTTGCATCTATCATTTTGCAATGTGTCCACAAAGCTAGGAGGCTCAACGTAACGATACACTTTAATTAGTAGACCGCAACATGGCGTACATACATCCGTGAAATAATTCATATTACTTTCGAGATTAGAAGTAGGGAAACCAATATGGACTATAACCGAATTCCATGTGCTGACTAGTGATTGAAATCTGTTGATTCCAGTAATCACTTAATGATGAAAATTAGATGTATTCAGAGAGGTGAGGGGTCAAAAAGCATTGGGTAAAAAAGGTCAACTAACTAGGTCAACATGCACTTATCTAAACA